GGTAAAGTGGCTGAGCATGAAGCTCATCACTTACCTCTGTCTAATGTCAAGGCTGACTTCATGGTGTGGTGTTTAATTAAGCACAGAAATGAGTCACCTTCCTCTCAAAGGATAGTATGTAACAACATGCCAATCCGTTCCCTCCTTCTCTCCTCCACATCTCCCCAAACCAGCCATTCAGTCATCCTACTATGTCATCAAACACAGCCCCTACTCTTTGACACAATATCATCAACTAATTTAAAAAGTCCACATCTGTGAACCTGAGGTTCTTCTTAAATCCTCATTTTGTCATTTGTTCATCATTATTTTCACCCAACAATCTTTAATTATTTTCAAAATTACTTCAGCCAAATGTTGTGGTTTCAAGCAACCAATCATATCCCATACCTGGATAGGTCTGACGTTTCGACTGCGCACATCCCAGCACATGATTGTGTTATCCTGTGAGCCTGACACAGCTACTGTTGACTCTTCATTATACCGCACAGAAGTGATACGTGCAGCATGTCCACGCAATCTGCGCAGTGGTGTACCCGAGCTTACATCCCACAATATCACCGACTTGTCTTGTCCACATGATACAATCTGACTGTCATGTCAAATGAATGGCACAGTTAATAACCATATTGGGAAGATACTGTTACCTTACATTATTACAAGATTCAGTGAAAGGGGTAAAAAACAGTCATGATTTTGATGGAAGTACAACATGTAATATTAACTGAAAAATACAGGTGAGACACTTGTTATTTAATGAGGCTGCATCAATTGTTCAGGGTACAGAAAGTGAATAATGCATAGTCACAAGGTCCCATGTAACTTCTTTCTGTCAGTTGTGGTTAACAGACCAGAAATCTGCCTAATGGATACTTGATGTAACCTGTTCAAATATATTGTTTTCTGACTAAAATGTCTTGTTTCACACAAGAATAAAGTGCATAATAATTCTTCCCATAATGCAAATGTGTTTTAGTTCTGTTGAACTAATTAATTGTTAGTCAATATCCTGCCATACAGTTTACATATCAATTACATTTGTTAAAATTCCTTACCAACACGTTTAAAGATGCGAAATGTTGTCTATAATGCCTATATTTTGTATATGTTCCATGAACTGTGTTTTATGGACAATATTATATATTTTAAACACATGGCCAAGGAACTGTAACAAGTGAAACAGACATAAAATGGCAAGGCATGAACTGTGGATGGTTCACTGGAACAGAACACGTACACAATACGGAAACAAAATCATAATAAAATGCTGATTAAATAATTATATTAAATTTATTTCTCAAGAATCACACAAATGTTACTGTTTTCAGCTATACAGAACTGATACCAAAATATAGAGAAGTAAAAACAATAAAAACTTGCTAGAAAATAAAATATATAATTATCCCAAAAGCAGATAAAGCGAACGAAGAATAAGGGAAAGTGGAAGTACATGGTGAGGATAGTGAAAAATAAAGGGAAGATCTTACTACAAAACCTGCATGGTCACTGAAACACACTTAGTACAAGAGAACCAATGCTTTTGCTTCCTCTTTATGTTGTTATTGATCTTATTTTCCTAATGAGTAAAAGGTCTAATGGGGTAGGACATACATATGGTTCCAAAGCTGCTGAACTCTCATGAACATGATTGTACTTTCTGTGCACACACATAAAAAACTAGATTTAAATCGCACAGCATATGTAAGATTAAATATAGTATAATACAGTAAATCCTCAGTGTTAGATATCTCTTAGGTCATGTAACAAATAAAATAAGACCTAAGCAGAATACATGAAAACTTGCAAATAGCAGGTGGACAATTAGCAATAAGCTATGAATTGCATATTCAGCTTGCTAGATAAGTGTATCTCTACATTTATGCTATGTTGTCTATACACACAAGTAACTTTACCTTTTTAGTTTATAAATAAATAGCTCTTAACATTGTTTTAAAATGTGTGTTTAATGGGCTAAGTGTAATTGTAGAAAGTTACTAGGGAAAATATGAAGCAGCAAGAAAGCTTTATGAGATTTGAGGTACTCATAGCAGTGAAGATATTGACATTGATTTCCTGGGTTGTAATGCCATGTGGACTTGCAGACAGATACCACTGTTTCAGAGAAACACTCAGTCCTGTATATGGAGACAGTTAAGATTCTTTGAAACAAAGTATCTACCTGCAAGTCCTCATGGACTTTGCTTCATCATTCTGATTCAAAGAGATAATAACAACACTAGTCAAATCACAAGATGCACCTGTTGTCACACGAACTGCATGCATCTAGCACCTCATCTGCATGTCCACTGTATGTCTTCAGTAGAAGTGCTTTATGTGGATTCCATAGCTTAAGCTTCTTGTCTGCACCACATGTTAAGCAGTAGGAGCCATCAACTGGAACACATAAACTGGGTGCAATATGATCACTCTACTTTAAAAATCATGAAATGAAAAAGAAAAGCAGTCAAACATGCCAAGTAATGTAAATCTGAGAGCATCAATGACATATTGTGCTTCTTCTCAAATAGTATCACAATGAAACAAAACTTTCAGTACTGGTTTAATATTAGGATACTTCAGCTTTTTCATAGTCTAGCCAACATTACAGATTTTAAAATAAAAATAATGCCAAGTCTACCACTGAATCTGGGATCACTCATACCAACAAAGATATATGACATTGTACAAATTATAATGCATTTAACTGACTGCTGTTAGTGTGCCAAATCATATTAAAAATAAGCACTGGGAAGCTTAATGATGAAAAACATGTTAAGTCATACAATTTATTAATTAACACACAGTATTAACTTTCTCTGGCTATTTGCTACTTTGTGTACTGGACTGTTTCCCTGTCATCATGATAAATAAATGCTGGATTGATGAATGGGATAGTTTACACAAAGTGCTATGCATTTTGTTGCACATGTACAGAAAATTTATAACAAGGACTGGAAAACAGATGGAACTTTGAGTATACTGGTAGGAGCTTCACTGATGTAGTATGGCATAGTATAGGAAGAGTAATCACATCCACAATACTCTCTGCTCTTTCTACATTATAATAGTTATTTCTTCATATTATGACAAACAAGTGAAGTATGTGAGTAGTTGCTCATATCAACAACATGCTGTATGGCTGCTTCAGTCAAAATAAAATTAACTGACAGTTGAAACCATGTGTCTCATATATTCTTTTCATGCAATCAAATTTATGTGATGTTGATTGTTTATACATTACTTAGTTAGGTATACACAACTGTTTATAAGCTTAGTATAACCTTAGAACATGGTGACCAATTGCAATAAAGCCGGTACCCTTACATGCAGGCTAAATCCAAATTCAGTGTCAGGTAGTGTCCGTTTGAATAGTGTTACACCTAGCAAATGCAATAAAATTTGTGACAGGTGTACATGGTCATCACATTGTACAGTTGTTCCCTGGGGCTTTAACGTTCGAAATCCTACACAGTTACAAACTCAGACGAAGAAAATCTAGAGCATGAAGAAGACACATACAGCTCTAAACCTTTCCTACGTCTCCTGTACTCATCAAACATGTGGCAGACGTGAAACTCACCATTAAATCTGACCGCCCTTACAGCGCCCTGCTTGGAATCTAAGGTTTTTAAGCACTTTAAATTAAACTCCACATTTTCCATGATAATCAACAGCCGAATACACACGTTTAGTAGGTTAGGTTTACAGCCACCGAATTGCGGACTATAGCGCTACCCATGACCAACAGCACTCTTCACGGAAACTATTATCACAACAACGCAAATACCTCAAGCCAATAAAGGCATTTATTCTGTTTTGTTCAAAATTTAAAATATGCTCGGAATTGCAGCTTTCTCCTTCCTGTTCCCGGGACCATTTCATCTCCCCCCCACTACTCAAACGCTCGGCCACCCAAATGACATGCCCTGGTCGAAGATTATGGTTTAGAACATAGATTCTTTGAAAACAGTTTTCGTTGTGACTGAAACTGGTGGAGTTTGTAGAGGGTCTTACAGGTGTAAATAGAAATGTGGCGAAAAACAATTAGATATGTAAGCCGTTTGGTACGTTATTTCGTCATGACTACTCACTGTTCGAATTTTGCATATACTTAGGTAAATTGAAGTTCCTACATGTACTGTAAATTTGTTATGAAATGTGAGAAATCAGGAAGGCGAACAGTTTGACTTTTGGTAGTAGCTATGTTCATAAAACGTATTTCACATTTTTGTGCTCTACCACGCAAGTTGATATTAAAATGTTAGGAAGACTTTCGCTCTGCGGGTTAGGTTATGTGAACTTCGTATGTATTTCTCTCTCTCTGTCTATGGTGCAGGATATTCTTTGCAAAGTCGATTGTTACCCGGCTTGTAAAATAATAGCCTGCCCACATTCTTTATGGAACCCGAAGGTTCATCACCGTGTTCACAAAAACCGCCACTGGACTCTATCCTGAGCTAGCTGCATCCAATATGTTCCATCTATTCTGACTTCCCTAAGGTCCATCTTAATGACATCCTCCCACCTATGCCAAGGTCTTCTCAGTGGTATCCTCCCTTCAGGCCCTTCAATCAGTACCCATGTTGCATGCCCTACCCACAACATCCTCCCCAATTTAATCACCCTAATAATATCAGGTGAGAAGTACAGGCATTGAATATCATCATAATGCAATTTTCTCCATGATTTGTCTTCCCCCCTTTTAGGTCCATATATATTCCTCAATACCCTATTCTCAGAAACCCTCAATCCATGTTTCTCCTTCAAAGTCAGAGACAAAGTTTTGCACCCTCACAGCACAACTGGCAAAATTACACTTTTGTGTATTTTAACCTATAGTACTTTGATATGAGATGGGAGGACAGAATATTTTTGGCTGAATGATAGTAGGCATTCCCAGAATTGAATCTGCTCTTGATTTTGTCATGAATGTCATTCTGACTTGTTAGTGTCATTCCCATGTGCTTGAATTTCATATGTTTTTTGTGGGTGTTTTAATTAGCAGGTTAGATTATGTGAGACTAGACTTGAGTAGCCTTAGGATGGTAGTGAATGCTGGAGAGCTCATCCCTTAGCTCAAAGGTAGCAGTCCTTTTGCTGAATATCAATAACAAAATATGTAAAAGTAATTAGAAACATTTATAAACAAGTTCTGATGAAATTATAACAGGTATTAGAACTCATGCATCAAATTGTTATAAGGAGCTGTAACATTAGATACATTATTGGATTGAAGTACATGTTTTGTTTGTAGCACTGCAGCCACCATATGCAGCAAATACATACAAGTCTGACACATAGACAACCATTAGTTCCAATTGTAATTGAACAGACAGGAAGAGGAGAACGTGCATATGATATTTACTCACGTCTGCTTAAGGAACGCATCATCTGTGTCATGGGACCAGTGAGTTGGCTTGCGATGTTTTGTATTTTATTCAGACCATTTAGCTTTAGAACAGTTACAGAATGTGCTCTTTGTGGTTGTTGCACCACATAGTATTTTGGCTGTATGCCAAGATTTCATACAGCCAAAATACTACACAACAAATAACTTGGAAGTTGAAAGTGACTGTTTTCTGGGAAGTTGTGCTCTGCAGCCTGATAAACGTTTACCATTCTTTCAGAGGTGCTTATTACCCTCATTGCCCTGATGATGAAGGCAGCAAGCATCTCTGAAATTTTGGTAAACTTCTACCCGGCTGCACAACTCAACTTCCCAGGAAACAGTCATCTTCATACTTGCGACTGTGATCCTGAAATCTCAACTCAGAAGACTACAATCTAAATTCATATTGTCATGAAAACCTGAAATTCTTTATAATTGTTATCATGAGTTATTTAAATTCTGCTTTCACTGTGGAATCTTAATTTAAATAGAACCAGATTACTGTATGACTAATCTTTGTCATTTCAGTCTAACAGTAGGTTTAATCAATTCTTCTCGGGCTACCAGCCATGTCTGGTGGTTTAATGGAGAAAACATCAATGTTTTGAGAACCATCTTTGTCCTCGTCCTCAGGGTAAGTACCTGACATGGCTGGTAACTCAAGAAGAATTCATTATACCTAGTCGCCATGAAAGCTTCAGATCATACTAACAGTAGGTTACCACTAAATATTGCAAATGCCAACAAAAGTAATTCACTTTCAAAGTTTGAATTTTATTTACTAATTGCTTGGCTTCATTGATTCTTACATTATATTAACAATGCTGTATCAACTGTTTAGGTTATATGGCATTTAATGTTATATTACCTAGGCCAACACAGTGACGTGGATTGTGTAGTGGTGTTGCTTTGTATGTAGTCATCCCAACATTGTTGGATATTTTTTTAATACGGTTTGAATTGTCAAATGTTAATTTTATCTGTTTTTAATGGTGTATCATGTCAAGCTCTTGTGAGTACAGTAATAAACCTATGGGTTTTGTGAAAGATGGTGATTTTCTTGACTCTCTCAGCACACTGTTAGCTTCTCAAGAAGTGTGCTCCGTGGAATTAGTGATATGTAATTTGTTTATATTGAGAGACAACATGCTATGTTGACATGTCCATTTTCAAAGATATGGTTTGTATACAAGTATTAAGCTTACACAGAAGTATATTTTCTTACAAAGTTGGGAAGTTTTATGTCTGCTTCTTTAGTTTGTAGATATTACATGGTATTATTTTTACTGCATGAATACCATAATTATTATAGTTTGCATGTTATGCTGTAATGGAAATGGAGGCCATTTTTAGATGGTCTTACAGCCACAGTAGATAATTTCCACTTTCAACCAAAAATGTGACATATCAAGTGTCATACTGGATTATTGTATTTCTCTGGCATTTCATTTGCCCTCTATAAAACTGTAATTAGAATTATTTTGTAAAGAATTTGTTTAAGGCTTTACACAAGAGTTGTTATAATTTCAGTTACTATTAATGCATTGTATTCTTGTAGATCTCAGATGACCTGTCATCACTTGTGGTAGCACAGTTGTTGTTTCTGCAGTCAGAAAGCAGCAAGAAGCCTGTCCACATGTATATCAACAGGTAAGTTGTTTATATAGTGTAGAAGACTAAGTACTAGAAATTAAGAAAATAATATCCCATAATGGATGTGCATTTCCTAAACCTCAGTAGCATTGTTTTATGTTTCTTTATGATTGTACACACTTGTCCCATCCCATAAAATGACTGTGAGAAAAGATACCTAGTCTATATTGTTTATGAGAAACAGTGAAACTTCTGGGTCATATTTGAACCACCCTTGTATGTTTCAATTTTAAGAGTGTGTCAAAGTTCTTGTACTCCAGTTACTCAGGAGCTGTCATTTTTGAGCTCTGTCTTTCTCAGGAATCCTTTCCTGAGTACATTTACCTCTTTTTTAGGAAAGAGTAACAGTTGGCAGTTACTGTAGTTCTATTTGGCAGGAAATCAACATGAATAACTCCAGTATGCTCTAGAAGAGTCACTGAAGCTCAACTCTTGACTTGGGTGATTGCTTGCTTGGGGATGGTGTGATGTGCTCAGGTTTTGTCACAAGTTGCAGCCCTTTCAGAGACGTCATTACCCTTGTCCCAGTTGTACTGCAACATACAACACATGACTTTCTGACAGTTCTTTGTGTTCATATTCAGGTGGTTTGGCACTCCTCTGTCACATTTTTTATCCCAAAACACTATTGAATAGTTTCTGTAGTCATTCATTCACATATAGTGGTTTGCTAACTTAAGTTTGTAGTAAAAATAAATGATAAATTTATACATTTGGTGAGGGTTTTATTGTGTGTTCAGTTCCTTTATTAAGGAGTTTTTGTTGCAGAACACATCCAAATACATTCTTTTGTTTTCTTTGTTGAAATATTAGTGTTGCCAGATAAATACTCTTTGAAACACCAATGTTCTCTGGATTTGAACAGTCTTTTATAAACCTTATAAGACAGGGCTCCATAAGAGCCATTGGCAGGTGCATTTTTAGCATTGACCTGAATGCATCAGCCATTTAATAAACAAATTATCATTTTCATAAATGCCATGTGTAAAGTTCAGAAAGAAAATTGAATAATATATTAAGCATGCTGCCAAACTATTGACATGTGGATTTTGTTAAGTGTCTATTAGATTTAATTAGTGTTTTTGCAGCCGTGATGACACTGATTTATAAATATATTTAATGAATTAATCCAAATTTCAGTTTGTAAATAAGCATCACTTTTATTGTAGTTGGTGCAAATCTTCACTTGATTTTCACTACATACTGTTTCAGATAAGGTAAATACTACCTTATCATAATACATCAGGCCAGACCATTATCATTTACAGTTGGCATCAAAGGGTGATGTTTGCAGGTCTCATAGTAACTGATGGTTATCACTTCTGCTCCCTTCTCCTCACTCACACTGGCTCACCAAGTTCCAAGCTTGCACACTTATGCAGGTATCTATACCTAATCCCACTACTCAACTATCAGTTTAGGTTGAATGGCAATTGCAAATTGATAGAGCTGATGATATGGTGTTTTGGCAGCCCTGGAGGTAGTGTCACAGCAGGACTGGGTATCTATGACACAATGCAGTACATTCTTCCTCCCATTGCTACATGGTGTGTTGGTCAGGCATGCAGCATGGCAAGTCTGTTGTTGGCAGCTGGTGCCCCTGGAATGAGACATGCACTCCCGAATGCACGCATCATGATTCACCAGCCATCTGGTGGTGTACAGGTGAGCACTCATCATTGATTATTATCTTATTTGATAGTGTTGGTCAGTTTCTTGAAAGAATACTTTTTGACTGAGCAAAATAATGATAAAAAATATGTTGCTTGTGTTGTATGAGTACAATGGACAGTGATAATTGCTACAAATGTCTGATGTACTGAGTATGTCAGATGGTACTGGGGTCTTGATATAGACCAGTGGTATTCAACCTGGGGTACGCATACCCCCGGGGATACGCGAAGACATCTTAGGGGGGGTATGTGAAATTTTAAAAAAATATATATTATTTTATGATAAACACTGAATAATCAGTAATGTAATTTATTTAATTTATTTTAGATGGTAATTATATACTATGTATAACTTGAATTATACACCAACAACTTTGGGGGTACAGAGTTGAAGAGAAATTATATCTGGGGGCAAGCAAACAAAAAAAGGTTGAATACCACTGATATAGACCATTAGTTATGGAATTTCTTAGGAAAGAGTATTGTTTTCAGCCAGTCACTGTAGCAGTCATTGACTAAATTACAGCTAGCTTCAGTCTTTTACTGTAAGAGAAGGCAATTATAAATGTGTGTTAACTTGAATAATTTGATGTATTGTCATGAATGTATCAGACAAAGTAGGTTACAACAGGTAAGCATTTCTTATTTTCCTATTATTAAAAGAAATACCTTACAAAGATCAATTTTTATGTCTTCAGCTTTGTTTCATGTTTTGTTGATAGGGTCAAGCAACAGACATCCAGATACAGGCTGAGGAGATCATCAAGCTGAAGCGGCAGATTAATGGGTTGTACGTGAAGCACACAGGGTTACCACTTGACAAGATAGGTTTGTGAGACTTTATACTATACCATGAGTATGGAATATAAAACTGCAAAGATACATGTCCAGTTAGATTTCTCTTAATGTTGAAATAAACTGGAACATGTAATGAACCCTCAAGTTTCTTAAAAGCAGAAAATTTCTTGATCAGTTTAGTTACTGATACCTTTTTAAGGAAGATGTCTATCATCAAGTTGGTTAAGTGAAAAAAAATCAGTTGAGTTTAGTATCTGAACAGCTGCTAGCTGTCTGTGGAAATATGATATTGTAAGGGTCATTCCATTAATTGTCTACTTGAATATGTAACAACAGCAGGCAGGTAATATGGCTGTAGTATATTTCATGCACACACCTGTCTAGTGAGTTGGCTGACTATACTTTGGAACCAACCATCAAAATTACCATTCCTGCATAATTATATGCTAATTAATAATGTAATGGTAAAGAAATTAAATTATATACTGAATACTAGTTTTCATATGCAATTAAAATTGAATGGAAGGAAAATGAGAATACTGTGGTAGGTCTACATACTGTGCAACAAAAATAAAGTGCCAAAAATCTGTCTGAAACCAGAAATGATGTAAGCATATAGCTGGGATCATATGTCAAATAATTTGTGAACTTATATTTGTCGGTTGTGGGCTTTTCTCTACCTTCCGTTAATTACTATTATTTTTGTCTGATACCTATTACGCAAAGACACCAACATGTCTGCCTAATTTTAAGAAAAAACATAAATTAATTAATGTTTATGAACTGTCTGAGACATCTTAAAACCTTGCCAGTGTTATTGGTGTCCTTCAAAGTGTAAACAATTTTGTTTGTATGCATGATTTATATGTCTGAGACATGTCACCAATTCCCATTGCAAAATGGAGGTGTAAACTCTACTTTGCTTGGCCTTTCATATTTATTGGTAGACAAGTCAGTAGAATACAGGGAGAGCATTGATGCAAATATTACATTAGCAATTTTAACTTTAGTGCCATTTCACTGTATTATGAAAAAACATGCTCAAGATAAACTTTATCTCATGTTTACAGTTGTAGGAGAGAATATTTGTATGTAATATTGTGATTGTGTTGTGTTTGCAGAATCCAGCATGGAGCGGGACAAGTTCATGTCTCCAGTTGATGCAAAAGAGTTTGGCATCATAGACAAGATACTGGACCACCCTCCCAAACATGGGGAAAATGTTGAAAGCAATGAGCAATGTAGTGTGGCGAGCAACTAGACATGCAGTGGAATATGACTGAATTTAAAATTACCTTAAGTTTCCACTTCATGCAGGAATTCCCCCATTTACATTTGTTGATGTGTACACATTCTTTAGTTTCTTTGGTTTAACATGTTAGTTAACATTACTATGGAGCTTACATGTACAATGTCTGCTTTTAGCAGTTTGCTAGGTAGATCCTACTATTTCTTTTGTTACAATACCTGTAATTGGGTAGGTACCACATAAAATCAAGGGTTTGGAAATTCAAGAAAGGAAAGTTGTATTTATAACAGGATGTAATAATCTTCTTTTTTTGCTGCTTGTACAATTTTAGTGTTGTTCAAAATTTTGTTCCATAACTTTAAAATGTGTGTGTGGATGTGCTGTACACAGAAATGAAACATTCTAAACATTGTTTTCTACATGTTTAAGGGAAGCATCCTATTGTGTCTTAAAACTTTGCATACCGTGTAGTGTATTAGAATATAGAGTGAACAAACCAACAACTATTAACTCAATAATGGACACTATTGCCATAAGCATTTCGACCTCAAGAGGTCATCATCAGTGGCATCAGGGAAATTAATACATATAGTCAAATGGTTCGAGCAAATTTCATAATTAAAATAAAAGGTAATTGACAAGATGACTGCACTAGATGCATCTAGTGCAATCATCTTGTCATCTTCTATTTTAATATAAGTGAAACCACTGGTAAAGGACCACATAAGCAATGTTCTTTTTCAACAGGTGTCCTTGTGTAAGTGCAGGAATTTGGTGAGTAGTGTTATACTGTATGATTAATTGAACCCCTGCAAACCAAGTCCACATAAACTCTTTTTTACTGAAGTAACAGGAAGTACAAGTATTGGTGGTCGGTAATTGTTAGGGTGATTAAATCGAGGAGGATGAGGTGGCCAGGACATATAGAGGAGGGGTATGTACAGGGTACTGGTTCAGAGGCCTGAAGGGAGGAGACCACTGGGAAGACCTAGGCCTAGGTAGGATAACGTTAAGATGGACCTTAGGGAGATAGGAATCGATGGAGTGAACTAGATGCTTTTAGCTCAGGTTAGGGTTCAGTTGTGAGCTTTTGTGAACACGGTGATGAATCTTCGGGTTCCGCAAAGAAAGTGGGCTATTTTTTGGCAAGCCGAGTATACAATCGATTTTTCAAACAATTATCTGCACAATAGAGTGGGCGAGTGTTGTGGGTAAAACTTCCACATAGTCCAAACTGTACTTCGTACGACCACCGACAGATAGCAGCACGACTTTTTCGGCTTAAATATGAGATGAACAGACATGACCTGGCCTGTTGGATGATTTTCGCTTATGCTAAAGCATTAACAAATTCTAAAAACATCTTAAACTTCGAATTAATGTGCCTAGATCGTGTTGTTAAACACGAATAAAATCTGACATAGTCTCATTAGATGAAATAATTAGGATATTTACTCTGACTGTATTCGTCATGTAGATGTTTCATCCACCTTTAACCAATATATCTTTCGGTCTTCATTTCGTAGCTTGGGAAACGTAATTACATTGTAGGATTGGAGGTTATTTTATTTAAGAAGGCTGGATCAACTATCGGAGGTATGACGTGTCGTAAATAGATTCCTAAATCTTGGATTAAATTATATTGGGTTAGACGCATTGTATGGAAATAAAATAAGTGAATCATGCTTTATTAACAGTTTGGTTATATGTCATTAAATCGAATGAACTGTCAATGTAGCATATCATAAATAACAATTATGGAAATGTGTAATAACATCTTGTTCCCACACCTTCGTACTTCGTAGCTTGCTTTCGAGGCTATAGGCTTGGCTAGTCCGGGAGGAGGGGGGGGGGGCACATGCTAAGTAATCGCGTCCGGTGTCAGCTATGTACACGATCGACGACGGGCTGGGAGGGACGGAATCTAAGGGGGAAGGACCTTCCTAGTCTTTTTTTAGTTGTGTTCTATTGCACTGCTTCTGTGACTGGCTGCTGCCTACCGTCTGCGTGGCGGTGAGTCAGTTGTCAGCCGGTTCGTCGAGACAATGCACGCATGATATCTGTGCATGTTATGTAGTAGCCCAGTTTTATTCTCGATGTTCACCATGTTGCTCTAAACAAAGGGTTCAACATGATGGTGCTATCAGACTTGCCGTGGGTGCGCCCGTCCTCTGCCCATTCTGAGTACCAACAGGACGACTTCTCAATGAGAGGTGAGTAAAAGGTCATCCGTCCCCTCCCCCCTACTTCTGCTGTATCAAAGGAAGAAAAACATCAGAAGATGCATTGTGTAATCCACCAGATATTTGGCACATTATTTGAGGACGGCATATATGTGGAGTTCATATGATTATCACAAAGCTGTCAGAAAGTGCATAAGACAAACCGAACAGTTGCAATGACATCTCTTTGTGCACATTTGTGGTTGCAACAAGGGATGGTCTCCTTGTAAAGAGTGTGTAGGTGTTGCCAGATGTACTAGTTCTATTATGATAATGCAAGGATATTGTGTGTTGGGTTATTTTTTCTGCGGAATTCGTCTGTACGGTCCACTTTTGGTAGAATACAAAGAATGATTAATTCTTGAAGAAGGCAAAATTGGCATGTAGAATGAATGCCTGAAAAAATGACGTTATCAATTTCTTTACCGTCTTGATTACGAATGCAGTTTGCTACACATTACTTTCATTTCAGAGCCCGGAAGGTGCCATGGAAAGTCTACTGAAGGTAAAGAGTTCGCCAGGAAAATATAGTAACGCTAATAAATTTAGATGACCTATACTTGTAAGGCGTGTAGACATTTAGGGAAGTGTCGGGAAATTCATTTCAAAGTTCTCTTTAGTTTTGAACTATCAGTTCAGTTTAGTGATCATGCTGCTGTTACAAGTTTTGACCCCAAAACAACTTTTGTACTCCATATATGTTGTTTAGGCCATGCCCTAGCTCTAGCAGCTAGACTCTGGCTTCACACCACAGAGACTCTAGTTAATTTCATGTGAAATCTGGCTCTGCAGCTAGTAATTTGGAAGTTACTGAGGACTGTTGCTTTCAAGGGATGCCACCTTTGGTTCCTGACTGCTTTTGTAGTAAAGCTAGAACATGAGTTGCTGAAGTCACACTTATTACTCTGTATACTAAAACCACTAGATAATTTGGTCCTATATCCTGTTGTGATGTCTTTGCATGGGTTCTGTGAACAAATTAGAAGAAATAGAATATGGATAATTAGAATTTTGTAAAATGGTGCAGATTCCTGAATGTAATTCAGTTTCTGTATGATTGCCTAATTCAAGTATACGTCATGAATATAAGTCGTTATGCATACACTTATGTTCATCATTCACTTGATAATTAGATGGAATTGAAGATGTGTACTCACATTCATATTGTGATGATAGTGATGAAATTGTTGGAGCTTTCAAGAAGAAAGAATATCAGAATTTAATAATATTTCCTGTTTTATTTGTGTGATGAGATTTTTTAATTTTGTCTGTTCTGATTAAATAGATTTTATTAAATTTTACAGATGTTTATGTACTTAATTGTTTTCCTTACATCATACATTGCAAATGCTGGAATTGGTGCTTTCTTCCATGTCCTTTACTATTCATTCACTAATCACCCTATCATTCAATGCTGTTGGAAACATCATTAATTAAACCACAAATAAATAAATGTAAAAGAACTTAATATCTGAATAAAAATTTACTTGGATATTATCCATCGTCTAGTAATAAAACGTAAAAAACGTAAAACGACGTTTCGGAGATGGGGCTCTATCTCCGTCTTCAGGTTCCTACTCAGTTGGGCCCACTAGATAGAGCTAATCCCTATCTCCGGATATATATATATATATATTGTTTCTGTCCTTTTTTAATCCAAGATGCCATTTTTATGTGATGTGTGGATCAGACCCTAACATAAAACATGGAATTCATGCTAAGTCGACAGTATACAGACATTATAATTGCTGTGTTTCAGTTAATGTTGTGGAGGCTCTGCAGGAATTCTGGCAGATGAAACAGGCACGTGGGGCAGACTTGAGAAATGGTGCTCTGGTTATATATGAATCTGTTCCATCATCCAGCCCTCCATACATCTGCTATGTTACACTGCCAGGTGGATCCTGTTTTGGGAGTTTTCAGGTGAAGACTGGGACACGATTTTGTGTATTCCTGTTTCATTTCTTTAACAACATGGCTGCTTTCTGATATGGTTTTACTTATAGACAGGCTTGCACAAACCGTGAGCACCAGGTTACCGTGGAACTTAGAATTTTGTGCATATAATTCTCATGTTTATTATTATGTAATGTTTTTAATTTTGCACCATATAGTTCTGATTCCATCATGGTGGTAGTTCAGTGTTTGTGAATAAATTTACATGAATGTACTGGCTTCTAGTTTTTGGAGGTGGCTCTTAAATTTATGGGATATTTGTGTGCAGGACTGGACATTGATTCATTATATATTTTATAAAGGGAAAATATGTGTAATGATGTGACAAGGTATGTTTACTTGTTTCTTGATACTGTCATCCATTGGCATTGCTACAACAGAACTCCATATGCATTTCTTTTTCCGACTTTCATGTCCAGACTACCACAACAGCTCAGGCAATGTTAGGGGTCTCATTTTTACATGTATCATTACTACAGTTCTGATTGATCTAATCATTGTGTATTTCTTATTGGTATGATCAGTCATACTTCTGTTGCAGTAGATAGCTAAACCAAAAGAATGTGCAATATTACTGTACCATTGCGTTAATAAAGGACAATTTGATGGGAACTGCCTTGTTGCTTATACTGTGACATCAATCACTTTCTGCTTACAGAATTGTCCAACAAAGGCAGAGGCTCGACGCAGTGCTGCCAAGATTGCCCTAATGAATTCTGTGTTTAATGAACATCCATCCAGACAGATATCTGACGAGTTCATCGAAAAGGCTGTAACTGAGGCCAGAGCATCATTCAAAGTAAATGAAATCATTGCTGTTATTCACCTTTAAATTGATGAACTGGTATATTGGTTTTCCTGGGTTGATCCATTGGTGAAGAGATGTTAAAATTTCACATATGAGAGTGTTTCATATATTAATGCTTTCAAATCAGTGTGTTGTACCATGTAATGGTCATACTGTAGGTGTGTGGTTTTGCAGTTTACTGCCAGTCAGCAGCTTTGCCTGTCTTTGAATGTGTATTCCAAATAGTGAAAAACCATCAGAAACATAGTGTTGAGAATCATTTTAAATGATTTGTTTTTGCAGGGAGAGCTTGAAGAGGCAGACAACCCAAAGACAGGTATTGGAGCGTTCCGCTTCATGCTGGAGGCAAACAAGGGTCGCACAATGTTGGAGTTCCAAGAGCTGATGACTGTTTTCCAACTGTTGCACTGGAATGGTAGCCTGAAGGCCATGCGGGAGCGCCAGTGCTCGCGCCAGGAGGTGGTGGCACACTATTCAAACCGTGCGCTGGACGATGACATGCGCTCTCAGATGGCATTAGACTGGATTGCGCGTGAGCAGGAGAATGCAGGGGCTCTTGGTAGAGAACTTGGACAAGCAGAACGAGAGCTGGAGGCAGCACGTCTGGCTGGGAGAGAACTCCGGTTTCCAAAGGAGAAGAAGGATATCTTGATGCTAGCACACACGCAAGTCAGTGGTGCATTCCTCAGCTGATCATCATGCATACATGCCAAACACATACCCCAGTGCTTTCAGAGGCCTATATTACTCACGCCAGTGGTTCCCAGCTGTCCGCAATTCTAGTTGTGTTGCTCAGTGGGAAACAAGTGAGGTTTAAACTTGAATGTGAGTCACATACAGGTATAATATGCATGATTCCTGTTCCTGTTCCATATCTTTCTTTCTTCTGAATGCCTTAGTAAATAACACAAGTCCTACTGCTATCAACTAAAATCACACACACAAGAGAAAATTGTCAGTGAAAAAAGAAATGCATTTCAGTTTCTCTATCCAATGTTTTCATTATTAATACTACAAGGTTTACCAGAGAAAACTTTTATGAAATAAAAGTAATTTGTTGTATAATTCATGTACAGGAAATAATGTTAGTTTTGAATTTTGGGAGAGATCCAACATGCTGCATTAAAAGAACTTCATTGGAATAACAAGTGTCATCAGTGTTTTTTTTTTAGCATGGCATATTAATTTTCTTTAAGTAATGACACCTTTTCATTTAAACATTACATGCTTTAATCAGTACTGTAGAATTATACTGAATTCCTCTTCTTCTATGGCTCTGGTCCGTATTCGGCCCATGGCCTCCTCAATTCTCCTCTTCCATTTGGTCCTCTTGTTAGGTCCAAAACATCTTCCTTTTCAAGGTTGTTAGCCTTGCCACCAACCCCCAACCTGGAGGACCAGGGTACCTGTCTTAGTCTCACCTCTCCCCCTGACCCTGGCAGTTTGTCAGTCATAATAAAACACGCAGTAGAAATTTTTCCTTAGGAGACTGAAGATCATACTTTTCAGTGTCTTGGGTGCTGTGGTAAGAAGTCTGTGTTGGGAACCACAGGGCACATAATTTTGCTTTATTATGTAGGGACGCTCGAGTGGACATATTGATGCTAGTCCCGCTGTGCTGTTGCCGCTTCACATTAACACAAGCTTGGAGTAGGGTGTTGGTGTGTATCATATCTAACAGACATTGCTTGTTATTGTTGAATGTTTATATATAATATACAAGACGATTATTATTACTACTATGGTCTTATCTTTTCTACTAGTACTACAACCATTTTAATAAACTCTTTTGTACAATTACCATCATTAGTTTTACTATCATTATTATGAGTTTTGTCTTCATAATGTGATTGAAGTGTGGAATAGAGGCACTAAGGAAGCCAGGGAAATAGAATTTTCCTTTATTTACTGATTTAATTCACACTCATTTTGATTATTAACATAAAAATGTAAAGCACTACTTTTATATTCCTTGATCAGTTTATGCATATGAACTATACTGGCTTATACAACAGCGTAATCCAATAATGGTACCATAGTTGAGTGAAGAAACCAAACATTTACTGATATTCTTATTTTTGATTATGTATTCTTTATAGTTTGGCTAAAATGATACGAAACGTATTTCTTAAAGGGCTCTAGTGATATATTAATTGTTAGACTTTTAAAAGTATTAGGCTTTTTGTCGTTATTTATGTTCCATCTCTTATACTTAGTGTGTTCCTAAAGTAATAAATAAATTGAAATTTAGACAACAGGTTCTCTCCTGATTGCTCTTGAGCTATTATTCACAGTTATTTTAGTTATTAGTATATGTGTAATTTTGTTAATTTTCTTTGCAGACCTTATATAATAGTTTCATTTGTATTTTTATTCAAGTTAATTGAAATATTTCTAAATTATCTGACTTACCTTCTGTGGATTGAATTTCATATTTCACCATGAAGTTAGCATTTCTAAGGTACAAAAGATAAAATTAAGTTTTTTGTGTGTCTGCATGTCTGTAATTTGTTTTTTTAATTTACTTTTAACTTGATGAAGGTGTAACATTTCAACTCTGCTGGAGTTTCATGCTATAGTGTTGTTAGTTGAACACACCCAGTATTTAGCCTTAGCTTGTGGACATGTCACAGCAAATCATTGTTTTTATATATGTAGTCCAAAAAGAAAATTGTGACCAATGTTCAGTGATTGATTTCTTCACATGGCAATGAACTCCTTGTTATGTACATGAATGTTCATGTTTCAAGTGTATAAATTACTCGAGGATTTTTTTTGTAATAGTGACATTTTAATTAGAATAGTTAGCCCATCTTTATCCTTCTGCACCCCAGATAGCCTGCCCTAAGAAATAAATTTTTCACATCTCTTTTAACAGCTACTTATAAAGATAGGGTTGATATTATAAAGTAAATTATGTATTTATGCTTTTTCATTAGGATGTGCTTCTTTTATGTAACCATGTTAAACATTTGTTTTATGTATCTAAATGTGATTGTAATTGTTAACTGATATTCCTCATGTGTGACTTATGGAAAAATACTTTCTCTGGATGTCACTTCCAGCTTAAACACTTCACTAAACCACATGCTGTTCAGGACTCGGCTTTGCGACTGTAAAAGCAGAGGAAATGTGGGTGAACTGTGATTGGCTCACATTCCTTACAGGTTCACAAGGCTGAGTCACAAACAGCAGTATCACAACATTAGTCACAGATTGCACCATGATTCACCTCAAGTAATCCTTTGCATTGTTGTAAAGTACACTTGTGGTGGCCATGGCCAGTTGGGTGAGAGGAGAGCTTACAGCCACACTTATGAATGTGAATGGGTTAATAATAAAAATGAAGCAGCCTTCACCAGTAACCGTAAAGCCATAAAGATGAACATTTTTGTCTTTGTGGCCTGTGTTGAAATTTTGGTGAGTACATATTCGTGGTTTTTATGGTTATTGTTAGAATTATTATTTTTACTTTTGGTCATAACTACTACCAACATCTGCTGTCTCTAGTGTATATGTTATATTTGTTTTCACACATTTATATACATTTATTTTACTTCTAGTGTTATACTATGGTATAGTGGAAACTCACACATACACAGTTTATCCATTAGCTAGCTTGTGATATCAGGACTGTTTGCTGCATGGTCACAATCAAAATGGTCATGTTTGAACTGTGTTACATAATGACTAAGTTTCAGGCTTGTAGGTATCATATAAGTATGTCCTAAAATAATTCATACCAGTCCCTTTTTAAGTATATCTTGTTCTTCATTGGTCATTTTTATGGTGTGTCCCATTTTGAAATCAGCAAGTCCTTTTTATTTCTTGTATATTTGTAGTACATCTTGTGTGCACAAAATCAAAAGAGTTCACATGGCACATGGCTGCAGTCAGTGAGAACCATTATGGGGGATATTCTTGTACATAGCTATTTCTTGCTGTGAATGCACTGATCTCGTAATTCTTCAGTGATTGGCTCGATGTTCTTTATTTAATTAAAATATCTTTGTACCAATTGCATTTAAAATATTTTAATTTTCCAGTACCTAACCACAAGTCCTTTTCCTGATGTTTAGTCATTGTCACCACCGCATCATTTGCAAATTGTTTAAAAGATAAGGAATATGATGGCATATTAGAACTTGAAATTTGTGCTATTTTTCTACTGATTTTATAACTTTCTACATATCATGGTACAGTAAACCGAGACATAATAAGTTATGGGAAGATTTCATGATGCCTGTTACCTTTAAAATGGTTCCATTTATACAAGGCGGCTAGCACAAAATATAAATTAAAAATGACATACTTTGATGATTTTGTACATAATTTCCACATTTGTAAATTTCTACAAATTGATAGTTGTCAAACAAAACTGTTTCAGATGTTATTGAATTCATTCTATCCATGAAACTAGTTGGCTTATTAAAATTTGTTTAACAAAACCTGTAGTAATGTACATGGAAATAAATATTGCCTGATGCATTTCCTATTCAAATGGTTTGAAATCAGGAGATGCTTTATCACATTTATCTTCAACAAATGGGTCAGAACAGAAGTACTATTAGATACTAAAGTAGTTCATATACAAGTAAATACAGTGTAAACTGTACATGTTTCATCACCAGACTATAGGACAAAATCACAATATAAAGACATCTAATGAACTTTTAAAAATGTAATAAAGTATTTTGAAATGACACTAAGAAATTAGAATTGTATTCATAAAGAAATTAAGAGCAGATTTACTGGTCAGATATATTAAAATATACTTAGGGAAACTTGTGGTTTTATGGATCATACTCCTGTATTGGAACCTATAGGTTGTTGGCAAAGACAAAATCTGACACAAGTGGTGAAAATTATTTCACCAGATCGAAGTTTGTTTTTATGTAACTGATTATTCAACCTTATGTACAATGTGTGGGTTGTTTGTCTTTTGGGTATAATCTAGGTGGTCACCAACATTTTGGAGACACGGATGTGGGATTGTTACATAGGAAGAGGGAGGTAAAGGAAATGAGGAGAAGAAAGGCCCTGAAAAAGTTATTTCCATGGAAGACCATAAAAGGTTCAACTACACTAAAATGGATTACAGGCAGAAGAAAACCAAGTGAATGTGCATGCTGAGTGGGAAGATGCGAAGGGTGGCCAATGGGAATGAGGAAAAATTGAAGAGGAAAGGTCCTGAAAAGGGCCACTCCCCCTTGACTGCACTTCTACTTAGTTCTGCTCTGCTCATGTCCAATTAACGATTGGCCTTTCTTAAAATTAGCACAATTTAGAACTTTCTTGAAGTCATGCCTATTCAGGGCTTTTATTGCTCTGTTTCTATTCAGTACCATTTGCCATCCTTTCCTGGCACTCATTTCAGCATGCACTTCCACTCAGTTAGTGAGCCATACAAGGGTCTTGCACATTGCTCCTTTTCCTAGGAAGTTGCCATTTTTAAGGCCTTTATATTTCCATTCCTATTGACCACCCTTCTCTAAAGAACTTACCCACATTCTAACCTGAAATACTTCTACCTTGAAGATGGAGACAACAGGTTCCTCCAAAACTAAAACTGCTGATAAGACTAAATGGCATCATAAACCAGAAGACCACAAACTATATATATTTTTAGTGCCATGAAATCCTCAAATCTCATCTTGTATATCATAATCCAAGAACTTTGTATAACTATTTATCAGTTTTTCTAATCTCTTGCTGTGTTACCAATAAGATTTAAATAATCATATAATTGGCTATCCTGATTTTCATTTGAATTATTAAAGAAACTGCTTGTTCCCTAATATGTTATTTCTACAATGTCTAGTATACTCCCAAAGAAATGTATAAGAAACTTCCTCACTGATAGACAGGGTAAACCACTCACTTGGCTGGTTACCAATATTAAAATACTGGGAGCAGATGTATTTAGAAATAAAACTGCCAGTGTTCACTATACATGTTATTGACATTGAACCCATATGCTGACAGGTTGAATGTGTGATAGGGGAAATTTACATCTGCTCCTTATGGCAGGTGCAGGGCATCCCCCTGTGCATTTATCATAAACTGTTTCCATAATCATTATGTCTTTAATGCTTATTCATGTTTGTGTATGAAGGACTGAACTTGTATTTTCAGTCAGGTCAAATATTGTGTTTTTGCGCCTTGTAATTTGCCACTACACATCTTAAATATTTTAATTTCTTTAGGGATTTTGATAGTTTACTTTCAAGGATTACAGACTTGTGTAGTCCTTGGTACTCCTGTACTACACTACATTCTGCTACAGTCCTGCACTGAAGTCTCAAGTGTCTTAACATCTAAAGTGAAGATAATCTAAAATGCAATTTTTTTCAAAATTATGTCAAGAAGTTTTGCATACAACAAATAGTCATTTTGAATGTTTATAGTTTCATGTAAAGTACTGTAATGACAATTTGAAATAAGTTTGCAATTTCCCTTTATCTTATGCCTTATTCCATACCTTCATTTCATTGTAGTCCATTAAAATGTGTTTATAATTGTTGTAAACAATCAAAACAATATAAGGCTTGTTGTTGGTTAATGCACGCCATACTTTGCGATAGTGCTGTATTTCCATACTAAACACTTGAAAGAAGACCAGCATGAGGAATTTTCATAGGTCGTGTGGAACTGTAACAAAAAATTCGAAGGCGTTGAGCATCCACTCTGTTCATACGGCCTTTTATCAAGCATACCCCAATGTCTTAAATTTCAGAACGTTGCATTTCCTGTCTTGCCTTGTACCCTGCGGTGGGAGTTCTATCAGGTGTCCAAAAATATAGGGGTCCGCAGTGGCCGCGCGGTCTGAGGCGTGGACCTTGTGCCACTTGGTCGTCGGGACCGTGGGTTCGAATCCCACTCAAGGAATGGATGTTTGTCCGTGTTTTTTTGTGTTGTGCTGTCTTGTGTACAGGTAGAGACCTTGCGACGGGTCGATCCCTCGACCAAGGAGTCCTACCGAATGTCTATAGATGAAAACCAACGAAAAGTTGGGACCCGCAGTGCTCAGGCACTTGAAGAACGGGTCGTTCCCAGTATTCCAGTCCAAAATATAAATTTTCTCATAAGTAACGGGGATGAAACAGGTCAGCGGCGAACGAATCGTGTATAAGCCTATGCCTATTAGGCAGCGTGACTAAGTCGTTAGTGTAAAAGAATAGAACGAAGAAGAAGAAAAACCTTCAATACATCCGATGAACTCAAGTAGTACAGAGTCCCTGTGTGTTAGTAGGGTAATAAATACCGTCTTCAGATTGTATTTTAAAAACAGAAAGAACACTCTGTGTGTTAGCCCAGCAGTATGGTGGTCAGAGCAATCCAAAGGCGGGCGTTAGGGCATAAAAACGAATAAACTGTAAGTAAAAAATAAATCTTTGCATATTCAGCATCATTATTGGCAAAAGTTTACATGTTTTGTTATTTTGCTCAAGAAAATATGACATTGAGGAGGAGAAGGGTGTGGAATCAGACAATCCGTTATTAACGGAGTGTGTGTGTTTCTGTTGGACGACGGCTTGCCTGTGTTGATACAATATACTGAATGTCTTGTGAATTTTCA